GCACAAGTTGATACATTTTTACATAGGTACACACCCATGAAACCATCACCCCAATCAAGACAGTGAATATGTGTCCATCACCCTCAGAAGTTTCCTTCTGTCCCTTTTTATCTCTCCTCCCCTCCACCGACCTGCTCCAGTCACTACAGACTCATTTGCATTTTCCAGAGTTTTATATAAATAGAATCATACAGTATACACTCTTTCTCCATCTGACTTCTTTCACTCAGTCTGCTTATCTTGAGAGTCACCCACGTGGTGCAGGTATCAATAGTTCATTCCTTCTTATTGCTGAGTAGTATTTAATTGCACGGATGCACCACAATTTATTTATCCACTTACCCATCATGTACATTCAAGCTGTTTTTGGTTTAGGGCTCTAGTAAATAAAGCTGCTATGGACATTTATGGACATTTGTTTCTTTGCTCTTGGGTACATACCTAGGAATGGAAGGGCTAGCTCACGTGGTAGTGAACTATGATTAACTTTTTAAGATGCTGCCGTCTACTTTCCAAAAGGGTTGTACCACTGTATATTCTCACCAGCAGAGTTTGAAAGTTTCAGTTTCTCCATATCCTGATCAGTTGTTTTAATTAGCCACTCTAATAGGTATGTAATATATCTCATTGCGGTTTTAGTTTGCATTCAATTTGCATTTAATGACTAGTGATGTTGAGCATATTTTCATTTTTCACCATTCATGTATCTTCTTTAGTGAGGTGTCTGTTTCTTTATGCTATTTTATTTATGGTAATTATCAATATAATTTACATGCATGTATGTTATCTTACCACCACCACCCATCACCACTGAACTGCTTCATGAGGGCTGGAACCAACTCTATTTGCTCCCGCAACCCTGACACCTAGACTAGTGCCCGGTGCTTGACAGGCAGATGCTCAGGAAATACTTGAAAGAGTGACTGAATGAGCCTGTATTCTAGCCCCAGCTCTGTCTGACTCTTTGCGTGACCCTGAGCAAGTTTCCCAGTTCTCTGGCCTCAGTTTCCCATCTTTTAAAATGGGGTGGGGTCTTGAACCCAAAAACCTGAGGGGCCCTCCAGCCTCTGACATGGTCTGGATTTGAGGCATACCTCCTCTTAGCTACCTGGGTTTCCCCTCATTCTGCCCTCCAACCTTGGTGGATCGGGCTGTGGCTCCCAGATGTGCTGTCACTATACTGAGAGGAGAAAGAGTGACAGCTGTTCTGGGTCTGGGTGTCTGGACCCCACTGCCCACCCTGCAGCATTCAATCAAAACGCCAGCCACCCCTGAGGCCCCAGGCCTGCTGCCTTGTCCCAAAGAGTGGCATCCTGCCCAGGGGTTGTTATCGACCTACACGGTCCCATACTCCCCCTGACCGCCCCCTAGTCCCTCCTATGCCTTACATACACAACCAGAGCCCCCAGAGCCCGAGTCTCCCCTCTGCTATCAGACCATGAGCCATGAGGGTCTCTCATCTCATCAGGTAAACCCAGTGCTGGACCAAGAAGCAAGAGCTTAAGGAAGAAACGGGATAGGAAGGTCCCAATTTCAGTAATAAGTCAAAGAAAAAGGCCTGACCTGGACACTAAACTCCTGGGTTCTGGCCCCTTCGTCTTCATCTTGATGTGTGACCTTAGGGGATCCCTTCCTGCTCCGGCCTCAGTTTCCCCATCAGTGCATTGAGGAGGAGGACATACTGTTCCAGAGCCTGTTCAGTGCTGACACGCACTGGTGTAGCTCCACCACGGCTGGAGTTGGAACCAGAGAGGCAGCGGGATGCAGGACCCTGCTCAGGTGGGAACAGAGACCATTCCCCTGGTCAGGGTCAGGGCTCAGCCTGGCTGGAGAACACAGGCCAGGGCAGTGGCCCTTCAGGCCCAGGTGGAGCCTGGACCAGCTCCTGGGAGCAGACAAGGAGGATGGCTTCACCTCTTACTGCCTTGAGCCAAGGAAATATACAAAGGCCTTGTCCAGGGAGGCTGCATAGAACTGACAGAAGGTCAGGAGTTGGCAACTTAGAACTAAAGAGGGTTCCAGCAGCCTGTGTGGGGCAGCTCCCGTGGCTGAGGGCTACAGATACTCTGGAAGGGGTGAGAGGGAAGGAGGGAGCAGAGACCCGAGGGCTGGTAGGCAGTGCTGGGAGGTAGAAGACTGGGCAAAAGACAGGAGAGTCTGGGACCCTGGGCTAGTGGAGAGAAGGAAAGATGCAGTGAGGAGATGAGACAAAGGGAAGGAAGAGATGGTGGGGCCATCAATAAGGGAGGCGTGAGAGATGAGGCCAATTTGGGAACCGCAGACAGCGATGAGCTCATGGGAGGGGATGACAGAGAGCTGAGGGAGGCAGCAGTCAGCAGGGAGGGGAGCAGACGTGTCCACAGCTGCTTGCAGGGAAAGCAGGTGAGCAGGGCCCCGAGGGATGGAGACGGAGCTGACTCCCACAGCAAGCCACCATCATCATCTGAGAATGCAGAGCCCTGATGAATTGCAAAAATATTTTAAATAAAAGTGTTCTAAGCATCAAAATATTGAAGCCGTTGTTGTCACACTGTGGGTTAGTTGCTATGGAGAAACTCAGCCCTGGTAGACACGCCAATCAGACCCCAAGGGAGACAGGAAATGAGCCCCAAGTGGGCTGGTTTAGGGTTGGCATCCAGGAGGGGTTCTCTGTCCAGAACCAAGAATGGGGGACACTAGAGCCGGAACAGTACCCCACCACCCCGCTATGCTTCCTGAAAATCACCCGAACTGGGTATTCTCCAATTCTGGAGGCACAGGGCTGACAGAAAAACTGAGACCCAGAGAAGGTAAAAGACTTGCCCAAGATCAGAGAATAAGTCAATGGCGTGGGCTGAGCCCACGTCTCAAGTGTCCCGCTCTGGGTCCAGATGTCTTCCCAGCAGTCTGTTTCTCTTTCAAGACCCCATTTTGCCAGGAATTTCAAAGCTGGCCCTGTCTCGGGAGTAAGTCAGCCCCCCAAATATGGTGACTCGGCCTCCCGCTGAGCCCCACACCTGCCCTGCACAGTCTCACCTCCGAGTCTTTGTTCAGGCTGATCGCCCTGCCTGAAATACACACCCCATTTGCTGCCCTTTCCTCCAATTCTTATAATGCTTCTTGTTCTTCTATCCCTGCTTTAAAAGTGCCCCTCGCTACGTCCTGCGTGCTGGTCATGAGCCCAGCACTGGGGCTCAGAGCTGATGTCCTGTCCACCGTTGTCTCTCACCTGAGCGGTTGCAGTCGTCTTTCTAACTGGTTCCCGCCTCCACTCTGGTTCCCCTCCTATGGGCTGATCTAAGCCCCTTACTCAATCACAAGCAGCCTCATTTCTCCTCTTCCCCTTCCTCACTACCTGCCTGCCACATGGGCCGACCTCAGTTTCTAGAATGCCCCCAGTTTTCCTGCTTTGGCCCCATCATACCTGCTGTTTCTTCTGTCTGGACGGCTCCTTCTCTCACTCCTCACCTGGCCAGCTCCCACCCTCAGTTCTGCAAAAAGGATGTGAAGGACCTCCTCACCCTAACTAAATGATGCACCCCTGTCATCACTCTATTAACACCTGGTACTTTTTACTCAGCAGCATTATTTTCCATTCGTGATTGTACTCCCCGCTGTGTAACTGTTTAATGTTTTGTCCCTCCCACTAGGCTACAAGCTTGATGAGGTCGGTCACTATGTCTATCAGTTTACTGTAATACCATGAGTGCCCAGCACAGCTCCTGAAATAGATTAGGGACTCAACACACGTCTCAAAAAGTGAATGAATGAATGCTGAGCCCCAGCCCTTGGGGAACTCACAGACTGCATCAGTATGAAGTGCGGAACCAGTGTCTGGGTGGGGAAAGATGCTAACCCCCAAAAGAGACTCCTCCTTGGTGCTTCTAGAAAGGTCATCCAGCCAATGATGGGAGGATGGGTTGACTCACCTCTAGCATCAAAGAATTCATCATCCGAGCTCTCCACTGAGTCACTGAGGACATTTCGCAGGTGCCAGGGGGCACCGCCGCCCGGGGTAGGGCCACCTGCCAAAAAGAACACATCCGTTAGCATGAGACTGTGTCCTGACATGAAGGAGGTAAACCAAGACCATCCCTGGACCAGGGTCAGTCCGCGTCCTTCCGGCCCCTGCCCTTCCCATCCAGTGCTCAGGACCCCACAGAGCTCTCCAACTACTATGCTTTTATTTAAGCCCAAAATACCTCTCTGAGATAGCTCAGTGGGGCAGCAATGAGTGTTTCCGTTTTGTATGCACTAAAACTGAGACTGGAGTAGTCACTAGACGTTGCCAAGGTGACACGGTATATCAGTAATCACAAGGTAAGTTTTGCTGTGCTAATAAATGATCTCAGCTGCTTAAAACAACAATGGTTTATGTCTCACTCACACACAGGTTGGAAGGGGGCTGTATTCATGGCAGTCCCTCAAAGGCGTCACCACCTTATGATGCCACCATCTCAAAACGAGACCTCAAAGTCTGCCGAAGCCCAGGAGAAGAGCACAGAAAATCACACCCAATCGTAAAGGCTTCTTCCCACAAGTGACATATTTCTGCACACATTTCATTGGCTGAAACAAGTCACATGTCCACGCCCAACTTCAACAGGGTAGAGGAGGGGAGAAGCGGACATCCTGATGAGCACTAGTCATGTCTACCACACACAGCATGGCAGGCCAGCCTAGGACTGCAGCCTCCAGTAGAAAAAATGTCCCAAACTAAGAGAAGGGGGACCTGAGCTTGAGCTCTACTCCATCTCTGTCACTTACAACCTGTGTGGCTTTTCCCTCTCCATGCTACAGCCTCAGTTTTCCCATCTATAAAATAGCAACGACTATCAACGCTGAGCTCAAAAGATCAGAAATCACGCGTGCTCAGCGCCTGTATCTCAGGAGGCTCAGTAGTGGCGACGGCCATTGTTACGAAGATCTATAGAGGCCAGGACATGGGGCTGAGGGGTTCTCTGGAACAGTCAAGAGCAGGCACAGAGAGAACGGGGCCCCTTCCCTAAACCCTGCCTCAACCCACCTCCTGCTCCAGGACCAGGGGGAGAAAGGCCAGAGACAGAGCTGGGGATCGGAGGTTCTCTCCCCGCTCCCCATTCCCGAGCTCCCTCTACGAGGCACTTTGGGACTCGCATGGAACAGCTGGTGCCCAGCCCATCCATGAACCTCTCTGCCTGCTCCCTGGACATATGAAACACTGGGGATTGCAGATGGATTCAAATCTAATTGTAAAAATTAAAACCATAAAAGTGTTAGAAGAAAATGGACCTGGTAATTTTCCTGAGGAAATCATCAGAGTACACAAAGACGGAAGCGTACAGCTGATCATCTCAGTGTTCTGGTAATATTAAAAAAAAAAAAAAGTCTGGAAGAAATCCCAGTGTCCATCCGTAGGGGACTGGATGTACGTTCAAATACAGTCATAAAGGGAATTCTTCGCAATTATTGGAAAAAATGAAGTAGCTCCTTGTGTACTGACATGGAAAGATGCCCATGGAGTTTGGTTAGGGAAAAAAATGCAGGTAGGTCCCAGAACGGTATGTTCCTTTTGACCTCATTTTTGAAAAACATACTTATATCTGCATACTGAGGATACGTGCAGCATGTTTAAGAGCTCAGGCTCTGAGGTTGAAGTGGCCTGGATTTAACCTCAGGCCTTGCCTCTTAGAAGCTGTGTGATGTCAGATGAGTCCCTTCTCCTCTCTGTGCCTCAGTTTCCTCAGCCATAAAGTGAGGATAGCTCATGAGCCTGTTGTAAAGATTAAATAAAATGCATCAAACCGCTTAGCACAGGGCCTAGCATATAGCAAGTGTTCACAACAATAATTACTGTATAAATATACTTGCAGACGCATTAAAATGTCTGGAGGGATATATACCAAAATGTCAGTAGAGATTATCTCTCCCGAGAAGAGACAGGGAAACTCAGTTTTTACGCTGCAC